AGTTACTAGATGAGCTACCACTATTGTGGGATATCCAGCATCAAATTGACTTGATGTTAGATGTTGCATTACCTAACATGGTAAATTACAGGATGAGCCCAACAAAACATGAGGAGTTACGTGAACAAGCTGAAGAGCTTTTGGCAAAAGGACATGTTTAGGAAAATCTTAGCATGTGTACTATCTGTGCTTTGCTTTCACCAAAGAAAGATGAAACATGGCATAGGTGCATGGATTGTCATGCCTAAACAAGATCACATTGCATTATCATTTTTTCGTTCCTTGTTTAGATAATTTGCTAGATCATCTTAGAAGTGCATGCATATTCAGTAAGTTGGATTTGAAGAGTGGGTACTACCAGATTCATATTTGACTTGGATACGATTGAAAGACATCTTTTAAGACACGAGAGGAGCTCTATGAGTGGTTAGTTACTCCTTTGGACTATCCAATGCTCTGAGCACCTTTGCGTGTCATGAATCAGGCACCACATCCATTTATTAGTAAATTTGTCATCATTTACTTTGACATTATTCTTATTTATAGTACTAATCTTGATGATCATTGGCAACATCTTCGAGAAGTTCTTGTCGCTTAATATAGACAATTTTTATACTACAATAGCCAAATGTGTTTTTTTGACAGATCGTGTAGTATTCTTTGGATATGTGGTCTCAAATGATGGGCTAATGGTTGACACAACAAAAGTGCAAGTAGTAAATCAGTGACCATGGTGGAGGAAAGTTACAAAAGTTCGCAATTTTCATGGTCTTGCTTCCTTTTACAGGAGATATATACCACACTTCAGTAGCATCATCATAGCTTGTATTAAGATTAGGAGATTTCATTGGAGACCTAAGGCACATGAATTATTTCGGTTGATTGAACAAAAGCTAACATTCGCTCCCATTTTGGTATTATCTGATTTTACCCAACCTTTTAAGTTACACTGTGATGCTTCAAATGTTAGCATTGGTGCGATTTTTAGTAAGATCAGTCGACCCGTGGCTTATTTAATTAAAAAGTTCTCAAACCCTAAATCTCTATATAATACCTATGATGTGGAGTTTTATGTTGAAGTCTAAGCAGTTTGACATTGGTGCCACTATCTATTTCAGAAAGAGTTTATGTTATAGATTGATCATGATGTCCGTAAACACATTGCCACTCAAGATAAGGTGTCCTCTCCAACATGAAACCTGGATTGCATACCAATTTTTATTTTTATATATAAATAAAAAGGTCTTGTAGTCGATTTTTAAGATTTCATGATAAATTTCATCTTAGTACGTTGTGATGATGAATCCCGATTTTTTTATTTCTAGCACCCGAGGTCCCAAACATTTCAAACATCTATATTTGTGTCCTTTTGTGACTGAAATGCCAATAAGGTCTTTTTTTTTGTAAAATGACTATTTTACCCTTAGTATGATGTAAACAAATATTTTCTCACTAATCTCTGCTTCTTTAGAGAAAATATTGTTTTAAATCAAACTAAATGTAAAATTATCACTGCACTAAAAATTTTGATATTTTGGACCTTATTGTCATAACTATCAAAGGTTTGGGATCCCATGTGTAGTTTATACAAAGTTTTAATATTCATTTTACTGAAAATTGGACCACTGGAATCGGACTAGTAATTTTGAGTCCCAACATAGTTAGTTGATTAAAGAGGCATGTTTGGCTTAGGTGCAAGCCCAAAAATTTAAGGGCCTCAGATTTTTTTTTTAAATATCTCATTCCTATTTGGCTATTTCCTACCCGTCTTCCTCAATTCTTCTATGCCGCCGTGCCGGTGCGTGCGGGAAGAACGAGAAAGGCAAAGCGCCAAAACCCAAGTCACATCCTCCAGGTATTTTCTATTGTTTTTGTTTCTCTTCGCCTTATTTTGGTTATGCTTTTTATATTTAATTTTGAGATCAATATGCAACTTCAAAGATCTAAAATATGCAAATTTCTGCAAAACCAGATAGTCAGATACCATAAACATAATGCTGGATTATCACTAATGGTTCACTGTTTCTTGACATTAGTTTGAACTTTGAGGAAATTCGAAAGGAAAATAATATTTTTTGTTCCCCTTTTTCCCGATTTTTGTTTTATTCTCATTGATAGATTTAATTTCTTCCCATGACACTGTTAGATAATAGATATATTCTGTTTTCTGTTGTTATAATGGGTAAAACAAACCGAGGGATGCTTCTTAATTATAAGGTCATACAATTGCTTTTTACTTGGGATAAATAGGCAGTATTTCTTTTCGAGAGTTGACATTCTAGATTTAAGCATGAAATTGAAAGTCTTGTTTTTATTTTATTGAAATTTTGCACCGTACTGGGTATTGGATATTATTTGTTTTCCACTTTTCCTCGTGCATTCAACTATAACTCAAAGTAAATATGGGTTTTTGATAATTTGTTGTTGGAGAATCGACATAAAACTTGAACATCAATCTTTTGACTAATTGTGTTTAACAATGTTACTCAATTTGATTTTCATGGTGCAAAAAATATAAATAAAAATAATTTGAATCTGATTGCATAGGCTTTCAGGCTTGTGAGATGCGACAGTGGAATTCTAAAGGTGTGAATTGTGATTCCATAATTTTCGTCGATTTTTTACTTCTCAAGTAAGCAACGGCTTGCCCTAACTTGATATTTAAAATATTTGAAGCCTTGTCGGCTTATATGAATGTTCATTATAGCATGTAGGATCAATAGCACAGGCTCACGTAGTCACTGTATTAAATACTATAATTGTGAGATGATTGAGATATTTTGTAATTGTCTTTTAGGTTAATCATTGAGTATTAGATATAGACTCATTCACCATGCCTCCTAAATATGAGTCTGGAGCTACGAAGAGGAAAAGGAAACGAAATGAACTTTTGTTAACTCAAAGTCAAGCAGGCGATATGGACAAATACTTTAAAAGCAACAATTTGAATGCGTTGAATGAGGATGAGGTAGTGATTCTACCCACCCGTGTTAATGAAGTAGATGACAGAGAAGAAGAAATGATGAAACCTTTTTGTGTCGATGAAGTAGATGACAAGGAATAAGAAATGATGAAATATGTCTATGTGAATGAATTGAATGATAAGGAATAAGAAATGATGAAACATGTCCGTGTGAATGAAGTGGATGATAAGGAAAAAAAAGGGGCCACTTTTCTTTGAATTTGTACGATCTTAGGAATTGGAAAAATGTTGATCAAAGAATGAAAGATTATTTAGTTGAAATCGGTCCAAAAAGAGTTGATGACATCATGTTTCCCAAAGATTGTGCAAAGAAACATTTCGATTCTTCACAATACAAGCGATTACTACCAAATGGACAAACAATTAATAGAGGATGGCACTAGTATTCAGTATCTACGGATAGAATCTTCTGCTTTTGTTGCAGGTTGTTTAAAACACCAAAAAATGTCATCAAAGTTGGCCAACTGGGTAATGATGGATTCAAAGATTGGCATAATTTGCATCGATCTATTAAAAGTCATGAAATGAATGAGGAGCATTTACGTTGCATGACTAGTTGGATTGAATTGGAAAATATGATTCAAACGAAAACTACAATTGATAAAAGTGTTTAATTGGAGCTATGCAGAAAGAGAACATTGGAGACGTGTATTTATGCTGTTTTCGGGGGTCCAACTTTGGAAGTTCGCCTCGCCCCCCAAAATCATAGGACTGGCGCTGCTTAGGTGTATATTGATTTTTTTTCTTTTTAGGTAAAAATCTCATTTTCAACTTCTTATGTGTTAAAATCAGTATACTTACTTTTCAACTTGAATCAATAAAAGAAATATTTATTTTAAATTTCACTTATTTATTTGTAAGTATACTTTTAAGATCAGCCAAACTTGCACTCATTCCCCATTCAAGTACCAAACTTCAACTCATTGTTTTAAAAATAATAATAATAAAAAATGAAGATCCCATAACATTTTTGTCTAAGCTTAATAGCAGCTTATTTCAATGCTGTCAAAAGAAGATAGCAGCTTTTAGGCTCAGCCAAACATGCATTATCTCAAAAATATTATTACGTGTCGTCCCAATTGAAGTGAATGAAATCTATGCCAACGAAGATGTCAAATTTTCTCTCATTTAGGGATGTCAACTAGTCGATCCGAAACTCGAAACTCAAAACTCAAGCTCGATTCGAGTAAAAATGATTCGAACTTTTTTTGGTCCGAGCCGAGCCGAACTCTTGCTCGGCCAAAAAATCTAAACTCGACCCAAGCTCTAGGCTAGAACCGAGTCGGCTCCCCATTTTTCTTTTAATGACGGCAGCAACTACACGTAGCTTTTAATGTCATGGTTACGTCGAGATATGAGAATACACTGCAATAGTAACTTAGAAGAGCATGAATATTTAACCAATAAAATAAAACTTGATTTATAGTGTAGCGTTCTAAATCTGAGTCTAGCTTTTAACGCTGTGTAAAAACAACTCTCAAGAAAAGGTGTAAAAATTGAAAGGGCGCTATTATTAGATCAGGTGTCTTTTAAAATAAAGCAACTCGTTATTTTATCAAATTTAAATCTGACGACAATTTTACCATTTAAACCTTTCCATTTTCCAGCCATTTCTTGCAATAGGAAACCACGATTTCAGGGCGTAGAAAAGCGCCATATATTCACACAAGCGAAACACAAGGAAGGCATTTTGTCACCGCTTTACGGAAAATGATAATTACGTTAGTTATCCGTGACTCAATTGGTGAAATAGCCTCTCCCCCAAGCTGGTTACATACCAAACACTGAAACATATTCTTCAAGAAAGCCCAGATGGGACATTGCGACACAATCCCCACAGATTTTTGTTGGAAGGATAATAGATTATGTACTCTACCAACATCAAAATAAAACTTAATATATGTACACGTTATATTGGACAGGAGAAAATTATTTCTCCCTCCAGGATCTATAATTGTGTCGTAAAACATAATTTATTTAAATAAACAGGGCATTCTTACTGTTACGCTTCAACCAATCAAATTTGCTCATCTTTCCTTACTTTTTTCTGGACGACGTTTTCCAAGTGCTGCTTCACATATATTTCGTTGATTTCAAACACAAAGCTCCTTCCTCTTATCTGCAAATGTACGATTTGGAAAAAGTTATTTGCATTGTAGAATTCAAGAAGCCAGTGAGAGCATGATAATGCAGCAGTTGTAAGGGGAAACCTCGATTTCCCTCAAATTACAAAGTAATCGCATATTTCTAAGACAAACTAGATGAAGAAGCTAATGTAATAAGTGAAATAGATGTAGATCTCACAAATAATATTCAGACTCCATTTACAAATTAATTCTTAACATATGCATTAACTCTTATCAGTTGAAATCGAAATTCTTACGCCTTTTTCTCTACATGCTAACATCAAGTCTTTGATCTAACTAATTTCATGAGTATTTAGATTCATTCAGGTGAGAATCATGGGCTAAGAGTCTACTGTGGGGTTAGAAGGGAAAGCAACCAAACATGTAACATCGTATCACTAAATGCCTTTAAGAAAAGAAAAGAAATAGAAAGAGATGCTTCTACATCAAAACTGGAGTATCTTGAGATACATATGATGCCTCCAGTTAGGTGCGAGGTGAGGGACTTTTTTGGGAACAAAACCATGAGGCCTATTAGGCTAGAGAAGACGTAGAAACAAGCATTTGGGTACAGTAATTACAGTTTTCATTCAATTAATTCAGCCCCATAAGTCAAACAGAAACTATAATCCCGTAAAGATATGCTCTTTAGAGAGAGAGAGAGAAGTGGGTTAAGAAACCAACCTCAGGAGATAGATATCGACAATCAACATTTGCATGGCTAGAAATACTAATGATATTACATGAGATCAATTGATAAACTTAACAACACCTTCCACCCTCACCCCCAAACACCAGCTAACTGAGTGATCAAATGAAATAAAAGTTTTTACAACCAAAACCAAAGTAAAAGGATCAAGAAACTAGAAAGTACAGTTGCATTTCTCTCATGAAGCATTTGCAAGATTTTTAGACATGTAAATAACCTCTTCAAATGTTTGGACTTATTGACACAAAGCTTATGTCACAGCTGTCAACTTAAGGAAAAAGAAAAAAAATAAAAAAAAGGGGTCAAAACAGCTATTCTTACATAACATGTATCATTTAGCTTCAATCAATTCAGGAAAATGGAAACAAGGGGAACTTGCAAAAACATCTTACTAGAAAAATTTTAAATGATTCTCATGGCTTAGGATTGAAATCATGATTATCTGCTATGAGCATTATTGAGCGAGAATATTGGAGAAATATGAAGCAATCTGTGAAAAAATAAACCGAATGGAATAAGAAAAGAATCAGTCTACAGGTACAGGAAATTAGTACAGAAATTTGAAATGGACAACAAAGATTCAAAGATGGGAAAAACACACATACATATAGATGCACGTGATGCTGCTGTGTACAAATTCTGTGAGTTATTCCCTGTACTCGTAAGAAAATGATAAGAGTGCGTTTGAATGCCAATATTTTCTGTGGAACATGTCATTTTTCCATCCAAATTCCTATTTTTGTGTTGTTTGATTGATTTTTTTTTTTTCCTTCGAAAACATTTTCCTACTTTTGGTCAAGTCTTGACCATATTTTCCTCTAAAAAAAAGAAAAATATTTTCTTTAAAGGGAGTAAGTTTTTATTTTCCAGGTAATTCTCTCTCATTTACCTCCTTTCTCTCACATCTACCCACCAATAAAAATTGACAAGTATTATATTTTCTAGGTTGAAAATTAAATCAATCAAATGCAATTGACAATTTTCATGCAAAATAAGTTCTCCTTCGAATTTATTTTCTTTCCATGTAAATTCCATACTTTCAATCAAACACACCACAATTGAAATTTGAATTCCTACCGGAAACTCAAATCCATTCTCTCATGACAAATTTAACAAAATACATTTATCGTAAATCAAGCGAAATCAGATCACTTAAACTATTCCCGATCATAGCAAAATTAATCAGCCATATTTGTGGCCAAGAGCCTTTATAATTTAACCATTAATTTTTCAATAGCTTCCAATTCTTCACGTCTTTATGGTAATGCCAAATCAGTAAAAGAAAAGGAATATAGTTAGAGAACATGTTGCAGCTTTGACTTTTCCTTTTTAGTAATTGTTGGAAAAATGTCATACTTCACAAATTTTATTTATTGGCTTTCTTAATGCACTTGTGATTTTTGATTGTCATACTTTGGAAATAAATTGTCCAAATCGTGAGAAAAAGATTTCTTTTTTTTTTTTGATAGTCAGTCCTGACTGAGATGGTAAGCAAATCCGTCCAAAACATTTGAGCTGCGAATTTTATTGTTTACCCTTTATATAACAGAATTTTTTATTATACATATACAGCTCGTGCAGAATAAATATTATACCATTCTAGATATTTTCAAATTTGTTTAGAAGGAAAATATAAAGATTTGTAAATTAAAGTTATCTTTCCTTATACTGGACTTTTACAAATCTAAGATATCTTTTTAATATTTTTAGATTTATTTAGAAGGAGAATATAAGGATGTGTTAAATTAAAGGGAAATGCTATGTAAGGGACATAATGGTGTCCACAATGGACACGTGGAGGCCCCCTATTAGGGAGGAGCTTGCGGGCCCAACCCCCTCCCCCCAAATAGAGGGCCTCCACGTATCCATATGAACACCCTTATGTATTGTACTATGTACTCATAGCACAACCTTAAATTAAAATTATCCATATACTAACCTACTACAAATCTAGAAAAATCTTTTATGTTAATCTCTCATTGTTTTTATTTCAAATTATTAGGTAAGATTTAATTCCTATATTTGATAATTATTTTACCTACAAGTAAGGTAATAAAGAAAAAGAAACAAAGAAAATTGTTCTTAATTCTTTTTTATTGTTCTTTTGTTAATTTTGTGAAATTACAAAAACCAGATACTCTATTTTATCTCAAATTAATTAGTGGATTGTTTTACCCATGGCATAGGGGCCATGGATGTTTCCCTTCGGGGTTTACCACGTTATATCTGGTATTCAAGTATTAATATATCCTATTTAAATTCTGTATCTAGTTAAAACTTCTCAAACACAGTAATATCCTACACGTTTCAATCACAAACATTAGAAACTAGTTATAGGAAGTTCTAATGGACCGTCGTCCAGAATTATAGTAGTGAAATTAAAATTCATTTTAAATTTATCTATATTTTAGAATTTACACTCGGTATCAGAGCGGATTCACTTTTAGAAAGTGTGATCAAGGAAAACCTAGATATGGATGGAGCACCCTGTAGACCTCCTGTTTTAGACATGACTAATTACTCCTATTGGAAAATTAGGGAGCAGTTTTATGTTTAATCCCTCAATGAAAAGGCTTGGCATTTAATCGTGTACGGTTATGAAGTACCCATTGTAACTAAAAATGAAAAAGAGAGAAAAAAGGTAGAGAAGCGAGTGACTAGAGAATTTAATTATGCTAGTTGGAATTCAAAAGCCTTAAATGCTATTTTTTCTTTTGTGGTTTCTAATTAATTTCCCTTGATTTCTACATGCATGGTGGCCAACGAAGCCTGGTATTGTAAGTTGCTCATGAAGGAACTTCCATTGTAAAAGTCATCCAAGCTTCAAATGATCACCTTTGAGTTTGAACAATTGACAATGAGATAAGATGAAAAATTCAAGATTTTTACGCCAAGCTTAGTGACATCAACAACTTGGCATACACTTTGGGAAAGATTTATTCAGAGAGCAATATAGTGAAGAAGATTCTTAGATCACTATTTGATAGATTTCATTCCAAATTAACGGTCGACCATAGAAGAGAGTAAAAATATTGAAAGCATGAAGGTTGAAGAGTTTGCAGGTTCCTCAATCCTATGAGTTGTACCTCCATATGAGATTTAAAAAAAAAAAAAGAACGAAAGAAAGAAAGAAAGAAAAAGGATATGGGGTTGCCTTTAAAACCAAGAATGTTAAGGAAGAAGTTAAGGATGAAGAAAATGAAAGTCATGAACACATGGCCATACTCACAAAATAGTTCAAGAAATTCTTAAATAACAATAAAAAGGAAGAAATTCAAAACATTAACCACAGCAGAAGAAATTCTTTTACTCAGGGTAAAATCTAACTTCATCGATGGAGAGAACTCAAATTTATATTCAATGCCATGAATTTGGACACATAACTGCTAAATGGGCTAACACATTGAAGAAGTCCTGGTCCAAAAAAAGCAATGAATGAACTACAATTGTTGCCTGCGGTACAAACTCGTTGGTTAGAGACAGCCGGACCAAGTCCGAGCTAGAGAAAAAAATATTACTCTTCATTCAATGATTGTGTTCATTGAAAAAGAAAGAGTTCTGGTTGGCACTGAAAATGGAACTCTTTCCAAACTCTTAAAACGAAAAGGAAAATCAAGTCCTGGAGCTCATTGTTGAACTGAATCACCAAGGAAAGAGTTAGACAACAAACCATTGGATCAGCCCGTCTAAGTGAAGCTCTTAACTATGGAAGAACATCAAGCATCAAAGAGAGCTTAAGATATGAAGGAAAAGGGAAGGAGAAGGAATCTAATAAGTTGAAGTTTGTCAAAGAAATCAGATCGGATGGATTAGCATGTCAGACCTTTGAAGCTGTAGTGAAGCAAGCAGGTAGAATCTCAGACAACAAAACATAGCAGTGTTCAAAGTAGGTTCTAACCGATTCCAAAAACTTGACTCAAATCACTCCATCAAGTGATCAAATAAAGTACGACTCTTCTAAATCAGAAAGATAAAACACAACACACTGTCGGATGTAGTTTCTGTCGTAAGTACGGACATGAGTTACTTCACTGCTTGTCCCACATGAAACATCAACCAAAAAAGAGTTAACTTGCTTGCCGGTACTTTAAAACATAATCCTAATGCTAGAATAAGGCAAGTTTGGGTAAGAAAGAGTAATCTTAGCTGCTATGTTGTCAATATAGCATATAAATCCATTGTGCCTAACTCTTGATATTTTGACATCCCCTGCTCTAGACACATGACATGTAATCGTTCCATTCTATCCAACTATAAGAGTCATGTAGGTGGTCTGGTTACTTTTGAGGATGGGGCTAAAAGTAAAATTGAAGGTGTTGATACCATTGTAATTGATGAACTCTCCATTTGAAATGATGTCTTATTTGTTGTTGAGTTAAAAGCTAACATGATTAGTGTAGGTCCACTTTGTGATAATGATCTTATGGTCATGTTCACAAAGAATTCATTCAAAATTCTAAAAATGATGGTAGTTGTATCTTATTTAGTACTAGATTAAGTGATAAATGATATCTACCTAAATTTGGAATTTCATGTCATATTCCAAAAGCTAACTTTAAGGCTCTATTTGAAAACACAAATTTTTCAACTTCTGCCTTGTTTGATACCATAAATTTGTCTTGGAAAACATTTTCCCAAAAAGCTTCACAAGTGCACTATTTATTGGATCTGGAGGAATTGGATTTCAGTGGGAAATCTGATTCCTTTTTTTTTTTTTTTTTTT